TTTCTATTTAATATTTAATGTTAATATTTCATATTATATCATTTAATAGTTAATATAATATTTACTGACTATAAAAGTGACTCTCAACTGAAGTTTTTCCACTAGAAACAAACTGTAAGACTTGTTTTTGAAGCCTATAGTAAATACACAAATGTAAAGGAAAAGGGTTGGGGAATCTGCAGTCTCAACACAAAGTTTTCAGAAGAAAACCTTTTTCCTTCAGAACCGGTTTTGCCATCCCCGTTGGAAACAAGCGCCGCGTTTGATGATGGGTTGTGTTGTGTTTGTGAGAGGTCCTTACGTGGGGGAGCAGTGCCAGCTGAGGAAGTCGGAGCTGGGATTCCCTCTGCCACCCATTCCTGCCTCCAGAGACCAAATATTGGAGTTTTGGACAGTAAAACTGATCTTTTATTTTTCAAAGAACATCTGCAATTTCATCAACATCACACAGAGTCAGAGGGATATCTGTGTCATCGTAGCAGTACTCAGTGCTGGACTGGAGAGAGGAAAACAGGATCTCTGTTATAACCGTAGGTGATCTCCATTATAAAGACAGGTATTGCAATTTTACCCTGAAAAAAAAACCCCAATCATTTTTTTCCCCAAAAAGAAGTCACTAGGTGCCTGTAAATCACATTCCAAAATCCTCCCATGCAGAAGACTCTGTCCCAGCCCGTAACACAGGCTGATCTATCAGAAGGACGTTGCCCACAGAGCCAGAAAATGATTCTTGAAATCAGTAGATCCATGCAAGCGTAGCATCAGTGGTTCAACCGAAGCCTCATGGCCTCAGGGTCCGTCTATATTAGTGGATAAGAGGCATAACTGGCGATCCCGCAATGGTTCGCATGGTTTCTTGACATGAGGATATAGCCCTCGTCACCAAAACGCACGCCCCAACTTTTGGGAGAGGAAACAAACAGACAGACACAAGAAAAATTAAATTCCTTTTTCTGTAAGTGAAGCGGCGGCTTTATCAACATCACAACATTGACGCGTTTTCATTAACCACTTCATGGGATTTCTAATCCCGTATTAAGTTATGACAACATAAAGGGAACTGAAGGTTGGTGTAAGCGTATTTTAAATACATCTAAAGTTCCTTCACGCTGCTAGGGTGACATAAAGGCGCTTTGACATGGCTAGGCATGAATCCCTAGGGAATAGTTTAAGGACCAACACCAATTTCAACTCTAGAACAACCCCCATTGCAACTGATCTCCCCCTCATCCGTATAAATATCGGTCGTTATAAAATTGTGAGGATGTCAGGTCAAGCGGGAGGTTGCCTAGGAGAAGCCTATCCCTATGGATAGTGAGCATACGGATAACAAGGGTTCAGCGATGCACGGTCATGCCTTTACCTGTTTTTCACAAGCCAGTAATCCTTATCATTTAGGGTGCCATAGCCGACCACGACTACTGCGTGATTCACCTCCTGTGTGCACCGGGGGTCATCGTACACACCTGGATGAAAAGGAGTTTGGAAGATGTCATCAGACCACAAGGCCTCATCTTTGACTCGAAGTCAACCTTCGGCATAGTCGCTAACGCTGCTCTCTTGGGTTTTGTCGTATTGATGACTTCGTCCAGGAACTGAGCCCCCGACTTGCCAAATGCCACCAAATTTCATAAACTTTACGTGCAGAAAGACACAGAAGACCATGAAGAAAGGACATACCTGACCTGTACAAGAAGAAGGTGGGCTGGGTGGCGTCAATAGCGACAGACACTGGTCCGATGTTGGCTACAGCGTCTTTTAGGGCTGCTTCATCGGCATATGGGAGCTCAACGTACTTGGAGCAAGTGGCGGCTCGTGTGGAAGCGTTGTATTGACATGTCCCATTCTAGTAGGAACAAGGGGGAGTTGAGGAGAGGAGCGTGAGGAATCCACCAGGAACATCTGAACACTTTCGGGTACGTGTTTTCTATCAGCCCTCTTTTACTTTGTGCTACCCCGGTCTTCGCTTTTCTTGGAGCGTCATTTTTCTACACACAGGATTACAGAAAAGACGGCTGGAAGAGCCTGAAGAGACCACCTTGTCCACCTCGCTTCCCCACACCCAGAGCAGCCAAACCATTTCAACAGACTTCTCTGCCTTTTTTCTAGAAACCTCGGATGACAATACATCTACCACTTCCCTAGAGAAACTGTCCTTGCTTCCTTATCCTTCCCATCTGAAGACTCATGTTTAGCTTAAATTTATTTTATTGTAAACTAAACCCAGGGATTCTTTCTCCCTCTGCACACAGAGAACAGCGTCTTTCGTCTCTGTAGCTGCCCTAATGCATGTTTGAAGACTTATATTCCACTTTTCTTTCTTGGACTGAGCTGCTGTTACTTTGACCTGTTTCCATAGACCATGTTTTCAAGACACCAGGTCATTTCAGGGCGTCTCTTGTCTCTGGCCATCAAGACTCTCAGCATTAGGATCTTTATTTTCTCACAGCTCTTTCCTTACGACCTTGCAGCAGCCAACTGTTACAGGCAACTTTAAAAAAAATAAATTGTATGAACTTCGTTCACTGGAAACCTCTGCCCACTGAAATGGTAGAACTATCAATATCCCATTTTTCAACTACACAGAGCTGAGAAAAGGACCCAGGACTCCTGTCCCATTTTTCCCTTCCGTGTAGTAGATTGCCTAATAATTTATGTAGGACAGAAATAAACATGTAGAAATTCTGGCTCTCAGTCCAGTCATTCACCCATGAGGAAAAAAAAAAAAAGTCTAAAGGTCCCTTCCCTGGGTCTGAAAGGATCAGCTGCAAAAGCTGAGAAGATGACACGAGACTGGTAGGAACCAAGACAGAGAGAAATCAGTGGGAGAGGAGAAGGGTGTCTACGCAGGAGAGTAGAACGACCGGCCATCTTGCTTCTACGCTCAGTGTTTTTCTGCAGATTTCACGTGTGGTCTAGTCTGATGCCTACCTGAGCTGTGTAGGGGTAGGAAGCATCCGAGTCGATCCCTTGGTTGTCGATGATGTACTGGAAAGCTTGGGTCATGAAACCTCCACTGCAGCCTTTGTTCCCGTACATCATGGAGCAGTCAACAAGGTTCTGGGCACTCAGGGACACCAGCTTCCCCGTCTTCAGCTTCACCTGGGCTTCGAGGGCTCCCACGGCACTGAAGGCCCAGCACGACCCACAAGCGCCCTGCAAAAGCCCCAGAGATGCTCAGACGGAGCGCGGGACCAAGACACGGAGAGGCACAGAGAGAGCTTTGCACCTGATTCTTCACATCCGTGACGCATCCTTTCTCCCTCCAGTCCACCGCGTCCGGGACTTTGCTGCCAGGTTGTGGTCGGTACGTGGAGGTTCGGTTTGGCCGAGGGACCACGTTCAGCCCGGTTAACAAAGCCGCCACTTCCTCGCTGGTCTGATGGGAAAAGAAAACACTGGCTCATGATGTCCTTGTCTCTGGTAAATCCTACACTGGGTGTGCTGGAGGTGGAGGGGGATTTCCCTTGAACAGTCTCAGCTGCGAGAGTTAGCAGGTTTGGGGAGTCCTTGGGTGTTTATTTTGTACGTTTAATTTCTAGCCGTTCGTCGGAAAGGGCAAGAAAAAGAAAAATACAAAGCTTAACTCCAGCACCGACAATCCCTGGAAGCTGGTGTGTTTCATTAACCAACACTACAGCCTTGGGACATCGAAGAGGGATGATTTGCTAATATATATAATGACCAGGACCAAGTCCGCGCACCCCAAATGCTGCGTAAAGAAGGAGTTATTTCCTCACGCCAGATTGCCTCATGCCGGTAGGTTGAGCACAGGAATATCTGAGGAGTTTGTTGACAGCTGCTGGAGTCCATAGGAGGACAGGCTGAGAAGGGCTGTTGGGAGTTTTTCCACCCGACACACTTATATTCCTCGTTAAATCAACCTCACAGGTAATTAAAGACAAAGCCAAGCCCCTTCTCAGCAGCATGGCCGGCACCTACCATGTCTCCCAGATGGTTCATGCCCAGCTCGTAGGAGTGCAGCCCCAGGGAGTGCTCCAGATTATGCAGCGTCACCAGTCGCAGGTTCCTCTCCCATGTCACGCGCCGGTCCCCTTCCTCATTCTGAAATTGAACGCAGCCTCGTGACGTGCAGCAATGGCCCCCACAGCCATTTTACCCCCTTTTGTCCCACAAAAGGCTGCCAGGAGCTCCTGCCAAACCATCCCCAGGAACCAGCAAGTGCTTCGAAGCGCTATCGGCTCTTCTCCTCGCTGCGTGATGCAGCGGATGGTCACACCAGAGCAGCACCCACCACATCAGCACCCCGAGCCGCCTCCACACCCCTCCAAAGACGCCCCTACCTTGTGGCGGTACTCCTTGCCGTAGGTTTTCTTCCAGAGCTGCCAGTGCCAATCCAGCGCGGGGTCGGGGTGTCCCAACGTCACCGCAAGCGTGGCCAGGAAGGCGATGGAAGCCAGCAGCAGCTTCATCTCTCTCAGCTGGGACCGGGGACTCGGAGCGACACGGCACGCACACTGGGAGCCGAGGGCTCAGAGCCAGAGCCGCGCTTGACCCCTTAGTGACAAATCCGGTTTGGTAAGGGAGACAAAACGGTGATGACATCCCTGACCTGGACTCCCTGGCATGCCCTTCACAGGGTTTCTACACCGGGTGATGCCAACAGCTCCTGTCCTGCCTGCCCAGACAAACACCCCGCAGCAGCACTGCCGGCCCTGCTCTCCTGCTGCGTACCCCCAGCCCCTGCCAGGCGGGAAGAGAAATCCCTTCCAGGACTCGGAAACTGCCCTTGGGAGAAGAAATCTGCTGGACACACCCCCTGCCCGTGCGGACACCGACACGCAGGGACACATCCAGACACACCGCCTCGTCTCACAGTTCCACCCTGCCTGAGAAACCCTCCCCGAAGGAGGCTTACGCATCGCCTGGTCAAGCAGCTGTTTTGACAAACCTGTGTTTTCCAGCACCTTAAAAAGAAAAAAAAAAACAAAAAAACAAACCTGTTTTCATCCAGCTGATGTCCAGCAGCTCCTGAGGATGGGCTACTACATACAACTACCCAGAGAGGGCTTGGAGGAGATTAGAGATAAGATGGAGCCAGAGTCACCGTAAAAATATTGTTCCTTCAGTTTTACTTCCTCAAAGCTCAGTCCTCCCAGAAGGGTGTTAAAATACAAAAGCACTCAACGTACCTGAAAAGGCTTCTTCCTGTGGTGGGTACCGATCCTCAGCCCCGCGGCAGCGTGCGCGTATGGGGTAGAGGGAATGCTGGGGACAAATCCAGCGCGTCCTCACCGCCGGGACACCCAGAACCTCTGGCACACGGCGGCTGCAACTCGTCGGACAAATCACAAGCCAGGAAATGAGGAAATGCTCTGATTTCATTTTCACTTAGCTGGGAACTGGGGTTGTCGTGTTGGTCACGGGGTTGTTTGAAGCAGGACCCTCAATACCATCAGAAAATGATCGCAGCTGAAAGTTTCCTATTTCCGGCACCCCAAAAATTAATGGTAAGGCTCTCACAGATGGCTTGTGGGGCCAGTGGGCAGGAGCGGGGTTCACACCCCTCTGGAAGGTTTTTTTTGCATTTTTGTGATTTGGTGCTGAGCTGAGAGACAGGATGAGGTCAAGGATGGAGCCTTGCTACTGCTTTGAACTGGGTAGCCCTGAGCTCCCATCCCACCTGTGTACCAACCACACCAAAGCCAGCTCAAAAAAAAAAAAAAAAGGCATTTATTCACTTTTCAGTGGGGAAGCACGGATGGGAAGACACAGTTTAAACATCATCATGGGATGGAGCTGGGCTGGCCAGCCTCAGCGCTGCATGGCCAGCAGGAGACACGTTTAACGCACGTTCCGTTGCAGTCAGGCTGAAAACACGGTCAGGAAAGTCTTCAGCTGCCTGGAAATCACGCAAAAAAAAAAAAAGGCATTTATTCACTTTTCAGTGGGGAAGCACGGATGGGAAGACACAGTTTAAACATCATCATGGGATGGAGCTGGGCTGGCCAGCCTCAGCGCTGCATGGCCAGCAGGAGACACGTTTAACGCACGTTCCGTTGCAGTCAGGCTGAAAACACGGTCAGGAAAGTCTTCAGCTGCCTGGAAATCACGCTCCAGCCTCTTCTCAGGTCATTGTCCGGGTTCACCCGAAGCACAGCCAGGCACGAGGGTGCATTTTTCATCACTACGAAGCACCATGGGACATAAAATGGCTGCAAGAAACCATCTTCTAAGAGAGGAAGAGGAAGCAAAACAGTGTCTCAAGAGCTTTGAAGATGCAGCTGAGTCATTTTCTAAAAAAGCTGCCAGAGATTGCAAGAGTTAGGAATGACAACAGAGAGCCTTCCACCTAAATAATTGAAATAATTCCCAACAGATTATCCCTCATTAGCGGGTAAGTTCCTGGGGAGGGTGAAGGAGATGATCGTAGTTGCTGGGACCCTTGAACTGCGATTGCTCCCGATTTCTGCTGCTTTATCAGTAGAAATTCAACGGGATTCCCGAAGGAGGGAAGGTTGGAGTGGAGCCAGGCACGCTCGAGATCAGCGGGGTGAGTGGTGGCCTCTGAAGAGCTTGTCCCACAAGCAGGGAACCGC